TACGGGCTATCAGCCTTGGGGTTAGTGTGTGCTGCTGATTCTAGGAGACTTCAAGGTACTTCTGTTTGCGCCCGCAGATCTTCAGAGTCCCCTTCTACTCCCTCGTCTAGATACTTTTCTTATTATCTTCAGACTTTTGTATAGAGCTACATAGATTATAGCAGCTTGTGACTTAGTGATATTCCGGGTCTTGGGAAACTATTTTGTATATGCCGATTGGTTCTACTCTTGGCTATTTATAATATGCTATTTATCTTTAACATGTTGTGTTTCTTTATATTTTTCGCAATATTAGGCTTACCTAGTCGTAAAGACTAGGTGCCATCACGACCCCTTACGGAGGGATAATTTGGGTCGTGACACGCGTCCTCGTCGTTGAAGGACAAGGTTCCTTCCGGTATATAATCTCGAGTTTGTTTCGCCCTCGTGATGGATACTTTGGTGCGTTTCAACTTCGGACCCTAAGAGACACCGACCCTACCAATGATCATGTTAATGACGTGTTGAGGTTCTTCTTTTTCGGTCTGTTTGTTAGAATCCCTATTCCTAAAATGATCCTTGGCTCGGTCGCTCAGGAATTCTCGAAGATGCCCGCTGTTGAATAATCAGGCTACTTCCTCTCTCAATTGTCGGCAATCCTCCATTCTGTGGCCAGTGCCGTGATATTTACATATCTGGTTAGGATCCCTTTGGGTTGGATCAGATTGTAGGGGTCGAGGCCATTTGGTATCTTTGATGTGTCCGATAGCTGATACAATGGCGGCAGCATCGACATTAAAGTTGTATTCCGGTAACCTCGGTGCTTCTTTAGGCCCGATGGACCTATCGAATATGTTTTTGTTCATGAGTCCCTGGTTGCTCTGACCTCAGTCACTTCTCCTTTCGTTTCTTATAGAATTTCGCCCGGACCCAATTCTTCTTCAGTCTCCATTATACGGCTGGTACCGATCCCTGTTTGGTATCGGTTCAAGATCGATGTCTCTCTTGACTCTATCGATGTTTCTGACGGGATAAACAGATCCCGAAGGGGCCCCGAGTTGATCATCTTCCATGCTGATATTCGATTGATACCGGTTGTGCATGTCAGCCCAAGTAATGGCCAGATATTCTATCAGGTTTTGTTTCAACTGTTGTGAAGCCATAGAGCTTCGAACATTGAGCCCTTGGGTGAAACCCTGAACAACCCAATCATCAGCGATCGGTGGCAAATCTATTCGTTCCATTTGAAAACGGGACACGAACTCTCTGAGCATCCCGTTATCCTTCTATTTTACTTTGAAAAGGTCTGGTTTTCTGGTCTCAACCTTGATGGCCCCGGCGTGCGCTTTCACGAAAGAATTCGCAAGCATAGCAAATGAATCAACAGAATTAGGAGGTAAGTTGTGATACCATATCATAGCTCCTTTCGACAGTGTCTCCCTGAACTTCTTTAACAGGACAGACTTTATCTTTTCATCCTCCAAGTCGTTCCCTTTGATGGAACATGTGTAAGAGGTTACATGCTCATTTGGGTCGGTCATTCCGTTATACTTAGTAATCTCGGGATGCAGAATTTCTTAGGGATTGACTTCAAAGCCATGCTCGGAGGAAAAGGTTTTTGCATGAACTTCTTGGAATCCATGCCTTTCAATATTGGCATTGCTCTTAGGATCTGGTCTATCCTGGAATTGTAGGTTTCCACCTTTTTATCATTAGCTTCGATTTTCTTCTCCCCTGATTCTATCCGTTTTGTCATCTCTTCTAGCATCTTTATGATCTAGGGGTTAGCCCCCGATTCATGTTCATTTGACCTTTCTGCGACCGGTTCATCCATATGAGTGACTTCCTGGGGTGGATCGGGTTCGACCCTATTCAGTGCACGATTTTAGTTCTATAACTGAGCTATCGCTGCCTATTGAGCCTGCAACATTTCGAAGATCACCCATAAATTGATCCTATCTCCTCCAATATTTTGCGTGTTTCGAGTTGTCGATCGGGCTCCACCGCGGACATTATTCTTGGGGTCGGTAGGCAAATTTGCGTCGATATCCACATGTGAATTAGCGCCAATTGGTCCCGCGACGGGAATTTTGATGCGATCAACCGGCGGCACCTCGTCACCGGGCACTATGTTGTTATTTTCACCTTGATGGCCGGACTCGTTGTCCACATATAAGGGTGCTGCTGATTGAGAGTTTGACATTTCGTGTTTTAACCTAAAATTAAAGACACTCCAAAGAACAAGCGTAAAGTAGTGTGTGTTATGGAGATTTATATCAAATAACCACTGTTATCCTTAGCTCCACGGTGGACACCAAACTATTTACCCTCAAAATCGAATAACAATTAAATTTGTAAGTGGTTTTAAGGATACATGATTTAACTTGATACAAAACGATAAATTAGATTGCAATTGGAATAAGTAATAGAAAAGTAAATGCTAACCACACAAGTTGAACAATCTTAGCCTTGAAAGGTTAGCCACCCTCGAGCCAAAAGTGCTTTGATTGATATCATAACAGAACAACAAGATAATAATAAAAATTTAAAGAGAATAATAATATATTACTTTTGGATGCGTGTTACAATGTGTCCCATGAATAATCAGACCCCCTTTATATAGTAGAGAAATCCTACTTTAGGTACAATTCTATAAAAGGTAAAAGATCTCTTAATTCGCTGATTTCCGGTTCCTTAATGATACGCGTCGAGATTTCCGCCGCAATATCTGACTGGTCGTGGATATTTTGGTCTTCTGTTAGTTCACTCGACAATGTTTCTCCGAGCTCGTTCGAGGCTAAGGTCGACACCGGACTCACTGCTCCTCGAAGGCAGGCATTCCGACCTCGAGTTCTAGCTCGGTGGGACTCGAGGTCGATCTTCAGTCTTTGGCTGTCACGTTCCAAGCCTAATCTACCAAGTTGTAGGAGAGCTCGATTTTGATCGTATACAGATAGGATAATGGGATTTTGGGGAAATTAAGTAGTGACATTAGCATACTAAGTTCATGCTGCAAGCACGGGCGTATCCCTTGTAGAGCCTAGGGGTAGCTTTCGCTCATACCATATATTTTTGTCTAAAGATTATTAAGTATATATAAATAATTAATTTTGAATTCATTAAATTAGATGTGATGTGTTATAATTGCAAATCGGAACTCATAAAGTTCAAAACTTAGAACCGCCTCTCCAAGTGTTGGACATTATGCTACAATAGTGGTATGTTGATCGGGTCGCGGTAAGAATATAAAAAGACTTCATCAATTGCGACAAAACAAGATTACTCGACCGTGAGAGAGTATATTGTGATTTACTTGAAGCAAAGAGTGTCGGTCTCTACGATAACAATTCTTGGATTATAATTAGTATGTTAATTAAGAAACTCAAATTTGTTCCATAATAATTTACATATTTTGTTCCATACATAATTAGTATGTTAATTAAGAAACTCAAATTATAGTACTTTGGATTATCATTTATCAAGTCCTTTGTTGTGTGGTTGGAAGAGGGGTCCAATTACCAGGCTGTCAATATTCGAACATCATGTTGCATATATCATACCTTCCATTCACTTGATGTCTCTTTCTTTCGACTAGCAAATTTTCTCTCATATAGTTTGTTACGTAGGAAAAGACCTAACTACCCTGACCTATAGTCAGGATTTTCAGTTATATACTTCATCTTAGCAGGGGTTTTAGATCCTCTAAACCGTCTAGAAATAGAATTATTGTGATTTTTCAGAGGCGAATTCGGAATTTGAACTTTATGAGTTTTGAATTTCGCAACGACGACTTCAAATACTAATAACTTAATTTCAAAATTTAAAGTTTATACATATTTAATGGATTTCATAATCTATTACAGGGTTTAAAACCAATCTACTGAGGTCGTTCGATTCCATAGGTTACCTTCTAACTTGGCCTCTGGATTCCAAGTGAGAAGAAACCTAAACTTTAACTCTCATACATATTTTATAATGAGTTTGTAATTTCTAAAAACCTAAAGTTGCTTCCCTGCCACCCGGAGTAAAGAAGCAAACGGTTCTATATGTGCACATATATCACAAACGAACGCTTTGGGGGTAGGGCATGCAGCATGCTTGCACTTGATATTTTTATTTAGGCAAAATACATAGTTTACCCGTCAACCTCTCTTTCACGGAAAACCTTTTTATAAACTCAACCTTTCAAAAGTGTGTCTAAGACACACTACTTTTGATTAGATAGCACTTGCGTATTTACACACACAAAAAAGCGCGTGAACCCATAAAAAATCTCATTTTTTGTCTTCTCTCCTCACAGGAACCCCTCCCCCTCCGTCTGGACTTTTTCCTTAGACCACCCTCCCCCTCCGTCTGGACTTCTTCCTTAGNACTTGAAAGAAAAAGTTATTGCTTTTCTGAGCCGAGGGTTGATTGGAAACAACTTCTCTATCCTCACAAGGTAGGGATAAGGTTTGCGTACACACTACCCTCCCTAAACCTTACGGTGTGGGATAATACTGGGTATGTTGTAGTTGTTGAAAGAAAAAGTTGAATTTTGTTTGAGTAGAATCCATTATTTCATTTGAAATATTAATATAATCTATTTTTCAGATTTTAAATTCTCTATTAATATTATATTATACCTCAATTCTAGACGACCGCGTGGTCAACACCCAATTCTAGACATTCATTACTTTGGCATGCAAAACATATCTAAACTAGCACAGCTTTTATTATTGTAAATGATTCAACTCCTTATAATGACTGAATAAGGAGTTTACACTCACTAAATTGTAAATTATCCGTTATTTGCATGTCAATTGTTTTTTCTTTCTTCTATTTGAGTTTCTTGAGCATTATTATGTGAGGATTAGGAAACCGCTAATACAATGTCACTCTTCAAATATTTCGGTGAAACTTTAGATAAAAATTTTCGACTCACGAGTAAGGACTAAGGAGTTAATCTTAAAGTAGCTAAACTTACAAAAACAATACTATAATTTGGCCATGCCTTAAATAGGGGTCGTCAAAGTGGTTATCTGTGCACTTGCCGCATGACTCAGTAGCGTCCTTTTGTGCAAGTTCCCACAAGGAGTAATGGCTCTCCTTTTTCCAGTTTAAAGCAGTCCTTTACCTAAACCCCTAAACCCCCAAATTCAGAAACCCTAAATTATAGCCATGGCAGCACTTCGCAACAAGCTCAGACTCATCACCACCCACCCCCACCACCAACACCGCCGCTACTCCATCCTAAACCCTGATTCTAAAACCCCACTCTCCGCCAAGGACAAATCACGCGCCGCCCTATCCCTCCTCAAATCCGAAACAAACCCACAACGCATTCTCGAAATCTGCCGCGCCGCTTCCTTAACCCCCGAATCCCACCTCGATCGCGTTGCTTATTCCAAAGCCATTTCAAAGCTCAAAGATCTCAATCACTTCTCAGGTATCTGCTCATTTCTCCAAGAATCCACGTCCCGGCCCGACTTGAAATCCGAGCGGTTCATTTCTCATTTTATTGTTCTTTACGGGCAGGCTGGGCTGATCGACGAGGCGAAAAGGGCTTTTAATGAAATGGAGGAGAAAATGGGTATTCAAAGAACTGTGAAAACTCTGAATTCTTTGCTTTTTGCTTGTGTTTTAGCTAAGGATTATGCTGAAATGAAAAGGATATTTGTGGAATATCCTAAAAAGTATGGGTTTGCTCCGGATTTAGATACGTATAACTTGGTGATTAAAGGATTTTGTGAATCAGGTTCTTCGAATTCTGTTTATTCGATTTTGGATGAAATGAGTAGGAAGAATGTTAAGCCTAACGCGACTACGTTTGGGAATTGTATAACCGGGTTTTATAAGGAGGAGAAGTATGAGGATGTTGGAAAAATATTGGAAATGATGAAAGAATATGGTATAGCGCCGGGAATTAGTACGTATAATTTAAGGATTCAGAGCTTGTGTAAGCTTAAGAAGTCGGGGGAAGCTAAGGCGTTACTCGATGGGATTTTATCGAGAGGTTTGAAGGTGAATCATGTGACTTATGGTCATTTGATACTCGGGTTTTGTAGAGAAGGTAATTTGGAAGAAGCGAAGAGTTTGTTTCAGAAGATGGTTAATACTAGCGGATTGAGACCGGATGCTGAATGCTATTTTACGTTAGTGTATTATTTGTGTCAAGGTAAGGATTTTGAGGCTGCGTTGAAGATTTGTAAAAGTTGTTTGGCCGAGGGATGGGTCCCGAATTTCTCCACAATGAAATCACTCGTTGAGGGGCTGGCTAGCATTTCGAAGGTTGATGATGCACGGGAAATCATAGGTCAAGTGAAGGAGAAGTTTTCGAAGAACGTTGAGAAGTGGAACGAGATTGAAGAGGCATTGCCGGAGTAGGGAGAGAAGTACTAAACATGGTATACTACAGTTTTTCTGGTCTGCAGTGTGCCATGGTCTTAATAAATTTAAAATTCAAAACTTCCTAGGGAAATTTGGTTATGTATCTTAGTAAAATGTCTTCGGAAACTGTTGTGATTTTGCTCGTTCAAATGAATCATTCTCCTTTTGATATGGGCAGAACTGATTTTGCAGAATTTATGCTAAGAATTTCTTGTGTTTTATCAAGGGGCATTATAGATACCTACTTAATTATAATTGCAGGTATTTAATGCATCTTTCTTAGATGCATTCATGAATCTTGTTTACCTACTTCCCTTGACAGACCGGAAATAGGATGATCTTTTATATATTTTTCACACACTTTGCTTTCAAGCAACCTTTTATTTTTCACGGTTTGTCCAAGGGTATTTAAGGTGAAGCTTTGACTTCATTCTAAGTTTCTAAAGAATGTGAAGATTTGACCCAAGGAATTGACTTTAAGCATTGTCTGTTTAAAAAGCTTCTTTCTTTATTTCTCCCTTATGTGGGTGTTGATGTTAATTTCAGCAAGTAGAAGTTTATGCTAGTACTGCGCATGACTTACTGTATTATGATGGAAAATATTGCCATGCTACGGTTCGGGGAGAAAAACATTATAGATAGGAACTTAACATTTTCAGCTTAAACTTTAGTCTGGTAGAGGATGGTCTCATTTTATCTGCTAATAGCCCCTCAGTTGCTCATATTTTCCCCCTTTCCTTTTGGTTATAGATATCTGATTTTGTCGTGGAATTTCTTTATTCATGTATGCTTTATCTCGTCTCAAGTTCCATGTCATTTGGCTCAACTTTTTGACAAACAGACTGTGTTATCCAGATATTAACATTGAACTTTTTTTTTAGGTAATGAATGTAACGGATACCCTTAACATTACCAGGCTGTTCTACAACTAAAGTGTTTAACATTACAAGATGCATGTCCTTGGGAATGCCACGTTCTAAATACCCTTGATAACACGGTCTTAAGCTTGATAACCTGTTTACCTGCATTTACATGGATAGTTAGGGCTACCAAGTGTTTTCAGAAATGCAAATACTTATAGCAGGCTGTGATGAGGTCTTTAGCTTTTTCTGTCTGCCTCAGTAAGTGCGAGAGGGAAGCTGCTTTGGTTGCTAAATCTTCTCTATTAAAGCTGAGCACATAAACTACTCAATGCTGCATTAGAAGGTGGCTTTTGACAATTGTCTATGGTTCACCTCTGCTTTTGTTTTTTTAAACTAATGCCTGCTGTCTATGTTTAATAGAAGAACAATAGTGCTGTGCCACACTTTTATCCCACAATATTGATGATAGTACTGTCTTGAATTATGTTTTGGGGAAAGAGCGCATCTGTGTTTCTTGTAAATTGTTTACTGCCTATAATCCATCCCTATTTCTATTCATAACTGCCTTTTGCTCGGTGCTGTTTGTATGGTTAATGATATAGCGTGAAATGCCTGGTTGAGAGTTTAAGTTAGAAATTGTGGGCATAACTGGAGTTTGGTGCAAACTGGAACCTTCTTTTGTTTGGTTTTGGTTCGTGGCTTGTGCTTTGATTTCTGTTTAGATGCAATCGTATGCTGATGATACTGTGAAAAAGGGTTACTTTTACGTTCACCTTGCTCTATTCTGAAATGATTAGTTAATCTTTAATGAACTGAAGATTCTATGGACAATCTGATACAAATAGCTCTAGAAAAACAGCCGTGTGTGCTGATTATCATTACAATTCGGTTAGTGCATGTCAGAGATCCTGTTTTAACAGGAAACCTTCTACATATGCTGAACAAAAGATTTGGATTGTTGTACTGTTTCATATACCTGAAAAATGTGTTGTAGTGCCAATGCCCAGTTATAGTTCAACAATGTTCAACAATGTCTGATCTCTATTAGCTGATAATATTTTTCTCCTTGGATGTGTGACTTCGAGTAGGGGCTATCTATTACACTTCTATTGACAATTTATATATTTCTCACACGCTTTTTTTTCAAGTTCGCTGTTTATCCAAGGGTATTTAAGGATGAAGATATGTGCCTGACAATGTATGTAACAAATATATTTTTTGAAACGGTTCCAATATTTAAAAAAACGGATTTAATTGATTTGATTTTTTTTAAAGGAAAAACCTACTCAAACCTAACCTTGAATGCCCCTTTTAGAAGCTGTACTGACTTGCATGTGTCAGCTTTGTTAAAATAGAGTATAACCAGGAGACTGTGAGCTCTAAAATCTGCAGAAATTAGGCGAACTCTTTCAAGTAATGAGTTTCTAACATTTAAATATACTGCTGAATAACGGCATTCCATAATTTCTCTCTTGGATTTACAACTGAATAACTAATAAGATATCTAACTCTTGGTGCATAGCAAGGGTCAGATATATAGCTAGACAATCAACAACTTGCTGATTCAAACACTATCCATATCGTTGGATTCGTAGGACAAGTGATTCGATACCATGGAAATATAACAAGGTCAAGCTATTTGTCAAGTCTTTTGATATCAGCAGAGACGTAAAAGTTAGAACAATATAGAGAGAACTTATTATTCCCTGATAGAACTGTCCCTTAAGACCTAAGTGAGGATCTAAGTGTACAACAGAAACTATAACTTCCCTTCTGTCAGAATTTTAAGATATAACAGAACATTACTTTGACATTTCATGGGGGAAAAAGAAAAAGAAAAAGAAAGAAAAGATTCTGGTTGTCAGCAAGAAACCAAGATCCAAGTAGATAAAAATTGTTTGTAAGTACTTAGAATCTAGTTAGACTGTTCTTCAATGAAGCTCGATTCCTAAGGTGTTGTGCTCCATAGGCCGCAGTTGAAGCTACCGTTGTCAAGGCTACTAACCAGCTGCACCAATCGGAAGTATTAGATGGAATTGAGTACAACATGTTTGGGAGATATGATGCGAAGATATACAGTCGTAACTCACCTGAGGTAAGTGATATATGTTTGAGTTTCCTCGTTACCAAGATCTGGTTGAAGGAGAGCTGCAGCAACAAGAGCCAATTGGAAAACTGTATTTACCTGTACATATTGCAAAAAGAGTTAGGAGCTGGAAACAGAAAAAACGCTTACCGAATTCGCAAGCATGCTTTACTAATGATTTGTCTCTCACGATGACCTTCTCTCTAAATCTTACTGACACTTGAAAATCAAGATGTCATATAATTCTTCAACCTTCTTAGATAATTTCTGTTGCGCAGACTCTAAAAAAAAGCTGCCGTACCCGTGTCGGATCCTCCAAAAATACACTACTTTTGGAGGATCCAAAATGCACCCGTAGACATTTTCGGAGAGTCCGAGCAACATAGGACAATTTCAGTTCGTCATATCCCACTATAAACAGTGTCTTAGTTTGGGCCTAATATTTTGCACAATTACTTGTTTAAAGGCGGAATACATATGTAGCCCCTTAAACTAGCCCAATTTTTTCATTTAGACACCTGAACAAAGGGTTGTACCTATTGAACACTTGAACTTCAGGCAGTGTGTGTGTATTAGACACCTCACATACAATCTTCCACAAAACCAAAGTGCATGACTTTCAGACGCTGTGATGTGGCAAAAAAGATGAATCAAGAAGTGGCATGTGGAGAACAAAAAGAAAACAAAATAAAAAAAACTTTTTTCATCATCTTCCTCTCTCCTTAGTCTTCTTCACCACCATGACACCACCATCTTCTTCATTTATCATCACCACAGCAACCACCACCATCCTTCGTCATCTGATTTTCATTTCCACAACCACCACCATGCCCATCAAAGGCGGGTTGCTCATTAAGATTCATAAATGATTGTGAAAAAGCTTGCAGGTAGAGATTGAATTTTTATGGATAAAAATTCTCTTATAAACGTAGAGGGAGAATAGCAAAAAACTTCACTGGAAAGAAGAATAGAGAAGGCTGAAATTCTTGAAATTACAGATGTGGTGCTATGGCATCAGGATTTAAATTGAGAAGAAAAAGATATTAGAGAATAACAAAAAGTACGGAGCACAAACTTTTTCTTGAGAGAGAATGAATCAGATACCATATTTTTTCGTGGCTGTGAGATGAATCCTTTTCTGATGCGAGCGTGTTTTATCTTGATAAATGGGTGAGACAAGAATACGGTGAAGAGAGTGACGGAGAGGGAGTGGTGCTTTATCGGATGGATAAAGTACGAACAAGAAGATATTTATGGGTTTGAATCTGGCATGGACTTGAAAGAAGGAGAAGAAAATGAGTAGAAAAATGGCTAAAGAAAGGCAGTTAGCGGAAATTGTTGGAAACTCAATTTTCTGTAAAGGACTCATATTTCTCTTATAAGATGCGCTCAAGGTGAAAGACACACCCTGTGCCATGTCAGCGAGGTGTGTTCAATAGACACACTTTTGCTCTCGTTAAGGTGTTCAATAGGTACAACCCTTTGTTCAAGTGTCTAAATGAAAAATTTGGGCATGTTTAAGGGGCTGTGTATGTATTCAGTCTTGTTTAAAATGCAACCTATTCTTCTCAGTTCTTCCTTTTTCTGAATGTTGCCTAAAGAGCTCTAACTGAACGATGGGGTCAAAGATCATATGTTATACCTTGCTTATCAAAAGAGGCTCAACTTTCTGGGGACGGGTTCCATCAAGGTTGAAGAATTCAAACCAACTTCTCCACTGCAAAAAATGTTCAACAAAGTAATATAAGCAAAAGAATAGCTGCAGATTACTATTACAGAATCTAATAGCCAACCTCACCTTCCACTCTAAAATGCTAGCTCTTTTATATACTGCACCACCAACAAGGGCCACATCACGCAGCACAACCATGGAAACGAGTGGCAGCTTCATAGCAAAAAACCAAGCAAGTAAGTTTCTGAAAATGAAGCATAATACTTCATTTTCATTTGGTTAATCCACAAAATAGATAACAACTATTCAAGCGACTCATCTAAAACCTTTTCGCACTCATCAGAACATCTGTGGGCTAAACGGGGCCAAGGAGCAGTAGCTTGACACAACAGACCACTGACATATCTCTTAAATCAAACTTCGTTCAACCACCTCAAGCCAGGAAAATTATTGTCATATAAGCAGTGTCTAAAAGAGCAGTACGCGCTGATGATGATTGCAACAACAGTAGGGGAAAAGGAGACAACGAAACAGTTCAGGAGGAAAAACAAAAAGCTAAAGGACATGCATATAGATGACCAAAGGTAATTCCTCGTTGACATGAACTATTAGCAGTGGATATGACATTTGACGAAGCAGAAGGAACTAACATTAGCTTTTTCCATGGAGACTCCAAAGGAAGCAAAGAATTTAGTTGTTTATTGTTACACATACATTAGATCAGGTTAGAGACTTTTATGCCAGTGTAAGGATAAGCAGGAGATTCACAAAAACTAATTATTTAGTATTGGAATGAAATCTGCCTGAATGAAGCAAAATAGTTTCGACGGATTCAGGCAGCCGATTCCATTTTGAATTGAAAATAATGTGACTGCTGGAGAACTAAAAAGACACACTACAGTAGCCCGAAAAAACAATCCATGGAGCTAAATATAAATAGGACATGAACTTACGATGAAGAAGACCCTTGTCTACCATTGCCAGAGCAACAAATGCAATAAGAACCTGTAGAAACACACAGGGTTTTCTTAAGATGGCCAACAAATAAGTATCTAGAATCCCAGAGGAAGAGACAATTCATCCATAAGAAGACGAAAAAGATAAAGGAGGAGGAAACATCAATGAAATAAGAGAAATGATGAAGCGAACAGGAAGGAACCACAAAACCAGAACTTTGTTTGCCGCTTAGGTCAACAAGTCAGAAAGGAAGCAACATAATAGTCACCTTGTCTGCAAGAGGATCAAGGTAAGAACCAACAACAGAATTTATTCCCATCCTCCTGGCCACGTACCCATCTAGCTACAAGGCACAGAGAGTAAGACTAAATTAGAAAGGAGGGCATAACTTCTATTTAAGGAGAAGAATGGAGCATACACACCCAATCACTTGCCCCAGAAATAGCTAGCCCAACAAATGCAGGAAGATACATATCATGCATAATCATCCTGCAATATTTAAACAGAAATGTAAAATTAAGGACTGTATATATAGTTTGTAGCTTTACTGTAGAATGATTACAGCATGTTGACAATGCAGTATAAGCAATGCTTATGGCATAAAAACTCAACCACATTCAAGAAAACACAACTGATCATGTCAAGAAAAAACAGCTGGTCATGTCCATGGCATTCAAAATATCTAATTAACTGTAAGAAGACATAATGCTTGACCAAGGAAGATAATTGACTCAGGTGTTGCTTGTTCTTGTCCTAGTTCTTAAACACGTTCGAAAAACCAA